TAAAGTGAAGCTGATGTTATAATGCTTGACTTTACTTATTCCAAGAGTTTAAGGCTGTTTTTTCTTTGGTAAAATAAGTATGGTTGAAACACATAAGAAAAGACAAAGTCTAAATGGCAGAACTTGTCATGCATAGGAAACTCCCTATAGCAACGGTGTTGCTGGATTTTTTTTTTTTTTTTTTCCTTTTGAGGGTTGGGCTGAGATGGTGATATTGTACGTTTTGTATTTTGGTTTTGAGGCAAGTCGGCTTCGTCCTCCATGTTCTAAGATTCCTCCCTCTACTATCAAGTTATGGGATCTCAAAACTCGTCATCTTCATAGAATGTCACAACTCATACCAGCAATTTGTTGTTTGAAATGTTAAACTGAAAAGTTGAAACTTCTCACTTTTAAAGATGTTGGGAAATTGAGTTACACAAAACTTGGAAGCTTTGAGGTGTATCTAATGACATTGCTTTTAGAACATTATTTGCCCCCACTCAATTTTAATGAGTTTACTATTGTGTTGCTAGCAAATTTGTTCTCAAGATACAATATAGCCTTGTGTGATCAGAAACTGTAACTAATAAAGTTGAAGATTCTACGAAGAAACACTCTATATGACAATAGCAAATTAGACTGAGAGAGACAAAAGTGACTTTTGCAGTGAAAAGTGAGAGAAAACATGTGTGTGAATTGACTTGGTTTACATCCTTTTATAACTTCTAGAGAATCATCATGAAGAGGATGTGTCCATATGAAGAGACTCTTTGTATAGTTACGAATTCAAATTCGGTGATTGTTCATAGTTAATTAACAATTGGTGACTGTTAACGTTTGAATAATGTCTTTTGATTATAACCGATCACATCATGACTGTTGAGTTAACTTGGTTTTGTGATTTCACAAATGATATAACTTGTGACTTTTGATTTCCCAAAAGGCTTACAACTTGTAATTTTGCAAAATCATAATTTGTGATTTCATATTATGTCATCGTACCAAAATTATAGTCATTTCATGCAAATTACGATGCGAGCAAAGTGCACCTCTAAAGCGCATCATTGCACCACACACACATATACACGTAGTGCACAATAGCAAATTTATATATTTTCCTCTTTATATTTCTAAGGAGAGTAAACAAGTTTCTATTTAAAAACTTAAATCAATTTCAATAGTTTTCTATAGAACAAATCTTAAAAAGAAGATCAAACAAGTTAAATCAAAGAGTTTTGATAAAAACTTTAAAACCATTTATAAAAATACAAGTGAGTATGTGAGTATCCTTTATTATGTAACTAATCAGTTAAATATATAATGGATTTAATCTATAAAGATTAAAGTCAACAAAAAAAATCGACTTCTCAAAAATTACTCAAGTGGGCTTCGTTTTTGGGCTTCTTAAACTCTGTTTTGATTTCTTGCTAAATGATCACAACCACAATAGAGTGGCATTTTGAGTAGGGGTGGCAATTTTCCCCATCCCCAACGAGTACCCGGGCTCCCCGACCCGATTGGGACAGGTATGGGGGTACTTTGGCAAGGTCGGGGTCGAGGATGGGGCGATCCCTAAATCATCGATCGGGTTCAGGGATCCCCACCCCGACCCGCCCCCAATTAATATATATAAATTTATATATATAATATTATTCGTTTTTAAAATATTAATTATTAAAACTTAAAAAATAGTAAAAGTGTAAAACACTAAACTAAAACCCTCGATAGAGAGGAGAGAAGTCAAGAACTCTCAACTTTGTCTCTAGAACAACTAAACCAGTGAACCTTAGCTCCGTGTGTGCCTTCGTCTTCCTTCGTGTTCGACTCTTCGTCACTGATTCGTCGACCGTCGTCACTGTCACCCACTATCACGGTCAAAAGACTCAAAACCCTAGCTTCGTGCCTTCTCGAGTGATAGAGAAGAGATACTTAAAGAAGAGTTTCAATCATCAATCCTTCTAATCTTCATCTATTGTCGTTGATCGTCGAACTCTCTCTCGTCGCCGACCTCAACTCTCCCCTCTCTTTCTCTCTCTCAGTCTCAATCTCTCTGTCTCAACCTCTCAGTCCATCGGGGATTCGGGTCTCCAACAAAGAATTCATCCCCGTTGGGATTGGGGATGAAGGGGGATTCCTTTCCCCACCGGGGATTGAGGACGGGGACAGAGAGTGATTTGGGGGTCGGGCATCCCCAACCCCGAACCCGTCTCGTTGCCATTCCTAATTTTATACATGTATAACATGTATAAAATTTATAGATGTTGGATTTTAAAATATATTCATTTTTTTGTTTTAAAAATAATGAAAAGAGAGTTGAATTAAATCTGAATTCTATCCAAGTTGGATTTTAAAAGATTTTCATTTTTTTGTTTTAAAAATAATGAAACAGAGTTCAATTAAATCGGAATTCTATCCATAATCCATTATGATTTGAATCATCTCAAACACCCCAATTCAATTGTGACTGGATTAAGCCCAAATACATTGACTTGCACGAGGCAAGTTTCAGAGCATTAAATAGTGTAGATATAGATGTTGATACGTGAAATCTTAAAGCTCTTGCTTGGTTTGTAAGAAAATTTGGATGGAATGAAAAAAAGATGGAATGGAAAAGTATAAAAATTTATATTTTTATTGTTTGATTTTATATATGGAAAAATAACAGAAAAATACTGTTACACTAGGGAGAAGAGAGAAGGTGAGGGAGAACAGAAAAAAGGAAGATGAAGGGAAAGAGAGAGAACTCCATGACTAAAGCTTGGAAGATGTCCCCCCTCCTCCGCCAGTGCTTAATCGACCACCGTGCAGTGGTCCCCCTTCTTCGCACTTTTTTTTTTTCAAAAAAAAATCCAAATATACTTTTATCTAGCAATGAACATAACAAATTCAAAGTAGCAGTTGGTTCCGGAAATCAAAATCTTCATCCTAAAGAGTTCACCACAAGCAACTCTCTAATTTTTTAAATACTGTTCTCGCTTTAAACATCAAATCTATCAAAAATTAGAAGAAGGTTGCAGAGTTTCACATCCATAGAATTTGCACCATCTGCGCCTTCCAAACACAATCTACACTTAGCAACGAGAGTGCTTGCAGTGGATGATTTGTATTTCCAGACGGGAGGAAGCTTCTTTGTCCTCTTGTAGTAGCGAGCGAGTCGGTGGATCCTGCTCTCGACCAAAATCAATCTGAACTTGGAATCCTTGTCCTTCCTGTTCCTTTCAAGATGCTTTTGGATTGCAACAACCTTCTTAATGAGGTGGTACAGATCCTCAGGAATTTCAGGAGCAAGCCCATGAGCCTTAAGGATACGCAAGATCTTGTTACCCCGTGAGAATCACGAAGAATAACACCAATTTGAGACGACGTCAAACCCTTCTTTGCGAATTTATAGATGTTCTCCTCAACATCCTGAGAGGAGATTTTCAACCAAGAAGACGGAGTCCTCTTGTACGGCAGAGCCGACGAGAAGATACCCTTACCTCGACTGTGCATATGATAGCTAGCGAACTCTCTCTCTTCTCTCTCCCTTCCTCTCTCACTCAGTTCCTGTGGGACGAGCCAGAAAACTGTGGAGTGATCGGAGACGAATAGCCGCTGTGGGGTGCTCTGGTCACCGCCGTTGGTATTTTCCTCGTTCGTTGTCGAGAAGACGACAAACAGTACTGCAAAAAACAGAACACGGAAGAAGAAAGAGAAGAGAGGAGAGAGGGAGGAAGAGAGTGGCTGAGAGGGGTGCCGCCACCGCTGCTCTGCTTCTGGATTCGAACGGGGGAGGGAAAGTAATAGTGGTTTCTCAGAGGAAAATACCAATTTGCTTTCCTTTTTCTCATCTCATCCCACAAATCAAAGGGAGCTTAAGGTGCTGTTTGTTTTCAATGTAATGTTAATTACACTAATATAATTGATTGCATGGGGGAGTGCATATAATAAAAGGGATAATTCTAATTTTCTTTTTCTTTGTGTTTTACTTTGTTTTAGTTTTATTTTACTTCACTTACAAGGCAATCAAACAAAACAAAGCAAAAACTTAGAACAAATTAAAGGGCCGTTTGATAATGACTGAAATTGTTGAGCTGAAAGACTTTGTTGTTTTATCTTTTAGTTGTTGAAATACTTGAATAATAAAGGTATTATAATCTATCCAAACTGAGCCTAAGATGTCCACAAGCTCCTTGAAATCTTACTAAAAGAACAAAGCAATAAGCTTTTCATTTCAACATGTTCAGCTTTTATCAAATGGCCGTCAGAATTTGAATTCAATTCATTTGCACTCCCATGCTTAAAATCTATACAATACTGTATTAATACTTCAAACCATGCACATCTTCAAACAAAAATTACGAATTACATGCCTCAAGTTGTCAATGACCCAGTGGCTGAGAATGGAAGCTCATGATCAAACCTGCAAGCTCTAAGTAGATCCATTACAAGCACACATTGGAAACATCTCATTTGTCATTTATGGAAAGATAATACTAATGGACTGCTGTAGTGTCTTGTGGGGACATTGGGTAGCATCTAGGGTAGCAGATCTGAGCTCCACCTGAATCGCCTTGTAATGTGCATCATGTAATACCAAAAAGAATGAAAATGTCTTGAATTGGACTGGGGGAACCAGTAGAGGTGCAACTTGGGCGGGCTCAACCGGAGCCTAGACTGACCTAGCCTGCAATTTTACATAGACTGAAAACTGAACTTAGACTTTCAGGCAAGGTCTAGGCCTGAAAGTTCAGACTTTTTTATTTTCCGGTTTGGAATCGTGTCTAGCCCTTAGTTAAATCGAGCCTGGCCCAACATTATCTTTCATTTTTATGCATACATATGCACATACTTTTAAATTTTTATGTCAATTTTTAATATGAGCTGATTGAGTCGATTTACCAAACAGAGCCGAGCCCAACCCAGATGCATCAAATTTCAATATGGACTGGTCCCGGGTTGGACACTTCAGGTTTGACCTTGGGCTTAGTCTGGGTTCAGGTATTAAGCCCAATTCTAAACAGAACAACATATAACAGTAACAGAACAACTCCGATAAATTAGATCAATTTTCTTGACTATAACAACATATAAACTGCAGAAAGGTTCAAGTCTTTCGGAGAGAATCTGAATTGCTTTCATGTCCAACGATTTTCATGACAGATAGCATGACTATAAAACTTTGTAAAGTAGTTTTTAGCTTTTACAACATAAATAAAGTACAATGGCAATGACTGTAACTTTCCAGATAACCACCTCATTACACTAATGATGATCCTGCTGGGCTATTGATCTCAGTTCTCAAACCCAGAAATTCTTGTATATGAAGGTGAGGAGGGGGCACAAGAGGAGAAAGAGAACAATACTAATAAGGTTGCTTGAGGCTCCAAGTAAGAAAACGAAACATTAGAATTTGAATAACTTACAGTCAACGTTTTTGCATTTGCCTTCAATTCCACGTGAACCAAACTCAAATCAGTGATCAAGTCATTCCAAAGATCTGAAAAATTTTGATAGTTTCTCTGAGACAGACTCCTGGCTTTCATGACTTGGTTCTGCTGCATCATCATTGCTGTTGTCATTGTCATTGTTGTCGTCATCATCATCTTCAAAAACCAGATGAGTCCCATATTTCTTCAGTTGAAGACCCTTAATAAATGGTGGATCACGCACTTCTACCTGAATTCTATCACCATCTTCTAGAAAGGAAACCAGAGGATAGCAATCAGGATAACGACACAGGTAAATCTGATCTTCATGGGTCTTTGGAATTCCTTGTAAGTTCAATGCAGTACAGAATATTGAACGAGGACCAGGCTCTCTAAGGATTCTTGCCATAACATCTGGTATTACAATCTCTGTATCTCTGGAATCATCTTGCAACTGTTGGTCCAGAGAGATGACAACACAAATAATCACATTCCTGATCTTACGGTTTCTGCGGCTTGAGAAATTCAAGCTTTCTTGAACAAACCAATTTGGAATATCACTCCCAGGAAGACTCAAATTATGTATATGCCTTAGAGCAACCTGTGATCAGAAACAAAACATTTTATATGTGCATGAATGTTGCAGTTGATGTGTATATTTTGCAGTCCTATAACCAATCTCATTTTGGATTATTTACTGGTTCCAGAGTCTCAATATTTTAATTTTAAAAGTTATCCCAAAACAAGGGCATATATTAGGCAACTGGACAAGATCACAATGAAACTTGGCTGTTGATTAGGAGATTTGAGAACCAGCAGATTTGGGCTCATTGATTAGAGAGCAGCAGGAACATGTGTGGCCAAAAGAAGTTCCCGCCATCTCCCAAATTTGATTAGGACCCCAATCGCTCCTCTATCTGCCATCTAATTGGGATAAATTTCAGATTAAACACCATGGTCACAAGGGTAAAACAAACCTTTCATTATAGTACTTTTAAAATGGAACAGATTTGTTAGTCAAGTCCGTTCGGGAAGGTCCCAAAACAACACAGGAATCTTCAATCTGGCAAATTAGTTTGGAATTAAAAAGAGTTTTTTATTCCTCTTTCCACCTTATATTCCTTACATTTACAGAACAAGTTCAGTACCCAAAAAAAAAATAGAAAAAAAAAAAACTTTAAACAGCTAGCATCAAATCAGTTGGGAAAGCCACAGGTAAAAGGGGATGTATAGGCTAATGTGGACAGTGGGATTGGACATATGGCCAATCCAGAAGGTCCAAGACGGGTTGCATTTGTATAGGTTCATATCACTTGGGGAAAAAGCTCCAAGACAGTGGAAGTTGAGTGAGCATCTGCCTATCTTAGAGGGTCCCCAATAGAGGATCAGATTGTACACAGGATTCCTCCACGTGGACTCTTCTGCAAAGATTTCCTAATTGACCCAATTGGACATGTTTACACACACACAGAGAGAGAGAGAGAGAGAGAGTAGAGTACCTTTGAGAGTCTTCTTTTCACAACTGAACAACACGTTGTGCAACCAGTCATATAAAGCCGTTTCAAGGAATTCAAGGATTCCAAACCTGGAATATCGATTACTTTATTGCAATTTGTTAGGTCCAAATGCTCCAAATTCTTCAAGTTCGAAAGATCAGATATACTCTCCAATGCAGTACAATTTGCAACATTAACATCAGTCAAACTTGATGGAAGTGGAGGGAGGGACTTGAGCTCCACAGAGTGGGATAAGGTAAGCTTTCTGAGAACAGAAAGGCCCCTTAGGCTCGATGGAAGTCTGCAGATGTTGTTGCGTCCCATCTCTAAAGTCTTTAATGATGTTAACTTTTCAAAATTATTAGGGATTTCGCCAGACAATCCACAAGAATGAGCACTCAGCTCATATAGAGAAGAGAGATCAGAAAAGGAAGTTGGAAGAACAAAGAACTTGTTATGTTGGGCTGTGAGAACAGTCTGCTCTAAATGTTCTGCAATTTTCTGTGCCTCTTTAAGATGAAGACGTTTTGTCATTCTCAATACCCCTAAGCTTGAGAGGTTCCCAAAATTTTCTGGTAACTCTGTTATATCAGTTTCCTCCATTAGCAAGCTGTGCAAATTCTTTAAGTTCCCAATGGAATCTGGCAATCTTCTGACACGTCTGCACTTGTTTATATTCAATTTCTTAAGTTTCTCCAATTGCCCAATGGACTCTGGCAATTCAGTAATGATGGTATCATTGAGGACTAGAGTAGTTAGAGTTGAGATATTTACAATTGAATCTGGCAAATAGCTCAGTGAATTACAAAACCTTGTCTCCAGGTTCTGAAGCATGTTCAAATTTCCAATCTCATCGGGTAGACCATTGATTGATGTATAGTCTAGGTGAAGCTCACTTATAGATGTTAATCTTCCAATAGAATTGGGCAAAGTGCTAAGAAATTGACAACGGAAAACTGATAAAAACTTCAGACGGGATAACGAGCCAATGGAATCAGGAGTTCTCTAATTGAAGTGCTGGAAAGAAAAAGACTCAGCAATGACTCCATATTTCCAATGGAATCAGGGAGTGTAGTTATCAATTTACAGCCAGCTAAATTTAGTTTCTCTAGTCTCTTTAAAGAGCCAATGGAAATAGGTATTTCTTTCAAAGAAGAACCATCCAGATAGAGCTCCCTTAGAAAAACCAGTTTTCCTATGGAAGTAGGTAATTGGGTCAGTGACTGGCATCTTCTTAAACTGAACATTTCAAGTTTCTTGAGGCAGGATATTGAATCGGGTAGTTTCTCTATAGCAGTTCCATCAACAAGAAGCTCAGTTAAAGACTTCATTCTCCTGAGGTCCCTAGGTAATTCTTTCAGTTTGGAGCAACCGGAGAGGATCAGCTTTTGAAGATTTGTCAATCCAGAAACATCACTCGGAAATTCCTTCAGATTGCAACAGCCTTCCAAGTTCAAGATACGCAACATGCTTAGATCCCCAATTGATTTGTGAACTTCAATCAGTTCAGTGCAACGTTCAAGAATAAGTTTTTCCAGCTTCGGGTGCCCACCAAAATCAGGTGTAGCAGTTAGATTATAGCAACCATGGAGATTCATTACCTTCAGCTGCTTAGCCATCTGTTCAATTAAAATTACCTTAGTTCAGATAAAAGAAATATGGAGTTACACCAGGTTTATTTAATCTGGGTTCACCCAACATATGAAAGCAATTCAAGGTTGTGATGTAATAAAGTGAAAACTTACCTTGTACTGCCCACCCATACATCTTGATTCCCATACATGTCTAATTTTACTCTGAGACAGATCAAGGACAGCAAGTTTTGATGTAGAAAAGCCAGAGGGAAGAGCATCCAAAGGACATCCTTTCCATTCTAACCATGCTAGTTCAGAAGGCATAAGTTTAAAGCTTCCCTCCAAGGTAGCATTATTGATTTGAAGCAGTCTTAGATTAATCATTGGTTTGAAAGAATAAGTGCACAGTTTCACCCCCTTCTCTTTCCTTGCTTCAAAATTGAATGTACTCTTGAATTTATCCTTCAACCATGAAATAGGACCTCCACGTTTGATGATTTTAGAATATCCTTTAGAGCTTAAAACCCTCTTTATTTTCTTCTCTCCAATGTCAAGGATGATGCCCTCAATTTTTCTTGTTCCCTGTTGTCAACCATACAATAAGCACATAAAAACAAAAGAACAATTTTTTTAAAGAAGGAACAAATAGAAAGTCTGCCATAATGAATTAGAAGGTCAAAACTGTATTTTATTAGTAAATGTATAGAATAAAAATAATTTTTGTAATTTGTGAAAATAACCAAATAAAACATTGTAGCAACACAAACAGCTGCTGAGATGGGAAAAAAAAAGGAGTGAATGATTGCTGTCTACATTTTATGACCATCATACAGTCAAACAACATTAGATCCATTGGCTTCACCATTATTTACAACTAGTATAAGTCACTGTTAGGTGTCATGGGAAATCTCTGACTAACAAGCATGAGAACACGGGTTTGAGTCAGAAATAGTTATGAAAATCTTATGATTCATGATTCAAACTATGAATTCTATGGGATTTAATTCAAATCATGCATCTGAATCCTTTGTTTAAAAAACCTTATGGCTACTACTTGAATCACATGATTTGACCCATGAACCTTACAAATATAGTTATTTTTTTATAGATAACAGGAAACATTTCATTAATATAAACAAGAATATACTATGAGTTACAAACGGGGTATGAGTACCCCTAAAAAGCAGTCAAAGCAAATGAGCCCAAAACAATCACTTCCAAACCACCTCATGCCCACATGAGTAGGTGAAACAATTGCTCGTTAAAATAACTGAGCCCAAAACAATTGTTCCCTTACAAACCCTTGCCTCAGTAGAGAATCTTACAAATACAGTTCATTCTATTCAAATCAGTTCAATTGAGACCTAGTTACATATTTTGTCATTCCTTTGTTTCTTTTTCTTCATTTTTTTTCAAGGGAACTTGTTTTAAAACCCTTAATACAATAATATTTATTTCAGTTACCAAGACTTATTTAGGAACCTTATTTAGTTTAATTTCTATCCTATTTATGTTAGTTAGCCATTATAAGTGGATTAATTGATTAGAAATCAAACTTAACTATATCATCATACACTTCTTGAAATTAAACGGTAAGCTATTATGTATGAAGTACATATATGGTAGACGTGGATTAAAATGGGGTAAAATAACTTTACTCTCAATATATAAGTTTTCAGTGTATATTTTTAAGTTTTTGCCATATTCCAAAAAGGCAATCATTCTTACAATTTACAATCTGTTCAACTCAACCTCACTTTCATTGACATTTATGATTTTATGATTTTCAGAACATTTCTCAGAGCAGCCACTTCATGCAAAAGATGCTTGAGGCTAGGTCCATAACTGGTCCACCCCTCCTAGACCCCATATAGCCGGGAATAACATTGGGTAATGATCTAGTAGCAAAATAAAATATTGCGTAATGACCTTTTATTTATATGTTATTGGTTTCAAAACTATAAATGGAAAGCAAAATGATGTAATAACAAGGAAAAAACTGAAGGCACCTATGATCCAAGAGAGTCAAATTACACAAGATGAACTGTGAGCTGGTAGGCTGAAAATGGAATAACTTACTGAACTGCATACATGGAAAAGGCACTGCACTCACCTCTTGTTCAGTTCATTTAGAATGAAAAAGCAGTCAACAACCCTGTTGGAAAAGGCAATATGGTCTTTGTGTTTGGGATGCTTATTAGGGTTCTAATTAAGGGAACCTTTGTAATTTTATCACTTAATATGAAGTTAATAATAGAGGGTGTGAGATGAGAAAAAGAATTTTCAGACCCCATTCTCCATCATCCCCTTCTCTCTTCTTCCTTTATATTTTTTCTCACTATTTCTCTGCAAATATTTCACAACTTGGTATCAAAGCACTCAGAGATCAAAAGGGAGTATATTTTTCTGATCAAGTCTGATAGGAGTACTTACTGATCTCACCGTACCTTGGGATGACATCAACAGTCGTTATGGTCAAGTTGCAGCCCAAGACTGAGATGATACAGGTTGGTGCACCCTAATTTTAGATGAATTTTGGTTTGATTTGTTTGATGACTGAAGTTAGTTTCAGTTTTTTTCTTTGTAATTTTCAAATGGAAAATACTGAAGATTAGAAATTTGAATATTCTGTCTCATCCAATCAATTGTGATCTTATTTTAAAGGAATGAAACACAAACAGTACAAAATCAGAAAAATGGAAGACCTGTGTAACAATCTACCCGCTTTTACTGATATATCAAGCTCCTCCTGGAACCACCCCTTGTCTAGCAAATAAATCAGCAAGAGCATTAGCATTTCTTGGAGCGCAATTAACTGTGACATTAAGCTCTGTTGAGAATGAGTAAGAATGAAGGCAATCTTGCCACTATTGTTTTAATGTGTAATGAGGGGTAGTGTGGTCATTCATGCATATATAAATCTCAAATATTTAAGTTAAAGAATTGGGGCATGCACTCCAAGATAGCCTTTTTCACATAAATTCCATTCTTCTTCTTCTACTATTTACTTTTTTTTCTTCTCTACCTGTCCAACAAAAATAACTTGGTATCAAAGAATTGGTATTGATCAAGGAAGTTTGATACAGTGATTGAAATGATACCAAGGTCAATGTCCATATGGATGACGTTAGCACCCATACAGACAGCCCTTTCCAAAGCATGAAAACAATATATCCTAGTTGCTCATGAATTTAGGGTAATTTACATACATCTTTCATGCTGTTCTAAAGTGATCTGGTATTTTTAATTGATTTCATAGAGACCAAAAGCAAAATTACAGTCCTGGTCTCTGGCTACAATGAATCTGTTAATGGTACTTGATGTGTTCGATCACACATACTTTTAGATCTCCTGGAAGTGATCCCATAATTTTCTAAAGTATGAAGAATATTTTGCAGTTTTTTCTTCAAACCTGTTTTTCTGCCCATCACTAAATGTCCTTTGTTAGGGACTGTTTCAGGGCCGTACTAAATGCCTGGCAGCTTTTGGGATCAATTTTGGTTCTTTGGATCCTTTTTGTAATGAGTTTTGTGCTGAGGCTGGGCTAGAAGCCATGTGTTTGTTCTCATTCCTACCCAATTTAAAGTCCATTTAAATTCTATTTCTAAATTAAAAAAATAAAATTTAATAAAAATAAATTCCTATTTAAAAATAATATAAATTAAAAACAATGGTAAAAATTATTGAAAATTAATACAAACTTATCTACCCATACCAAACTTGAAAAATAATGCTTGGGTTGGACTTGGACCAATTAGTCAAACTGGTATTATCATAAGTCTCCTATGTCAATTTCGCTTAACAATATCTTCTTGGAATCTAACAGGCAGTGTGTTCAGAAGATTTTAGTGTATTGAAGAGGGGAACCAAACTCAAATGAGAGATGGCTACTGATCAAGAAAGTAAAAAGGCCTCAGGACCTAGTTTTCTTTCAGTTGGATTTGGAGATAGCACCAACTTGCAGGTTATAACTGTGAGATTGGATGGACTATTTATTTGGAGTGGGCTAAAACATCCAGGCTCTCTACTGGAGGCAAATAAAAGTTAGGATACCTAATTGGTAAGGAGAAAGAACTTGATCCTGATGACCCATCTCATACCAAATGGAAGAAGGAAAACTCGATGGCTATGTATCTTGGCGTGTAGGGTTAATGCAAGTATGAAACCACATATTGCCAGGAATTATATGATTTTGGATTCAGCCAAGGAAATATGAGATGTCTAATGTCTTGGCCGAAACATATTGACAAGTACAAAACACAGCTAGAGTGTATCAGTTGAGACAAGAAGTCATCAATCTTCACCAGGAGTAATCAGTCTCTATGTATTTCTCATCCTTGCAATATCTATGGTAGAAAATAGATCATCTAGAGGTTGAAGAATGGTGTTTTCCAGAGGATGCCAAGTGCTACAAGAAACTTCAAGAGAAGAATAGGGTTTCTAGGGTTAACTTTGATGGGACCAATTTTTCTGAGTGGTCCAAATCTACTAAATTAACCATTGGAGGATGGAGCATGCTAAGGTTTCTAGAGTTTCTTCAAAAAAAATAGAGGTCAAGCAACCTATGATCCTGCTTATGGGAGCAAGAAAATCTTCTTGTTATGTCATGGTTGATTTATTCCATGCAGCCTATGTAGCCCATAATTTATATGTCTACTGCTAATATAGCATAGGGTGTACACCACATACTCTCAAGCTAAATATACTATGTGGGTGTACCAACTTAGAAGAGAGGCAAGTAATTTGAGGCAAAGGGAGAAGACTGTGGCCTTGCATGTACTTTTCTTTTCTTCAGTCGATTTGGGAGGAGATGAATCATCTCAAGGTCCTGGAGTTCGAAGATCCTTCAGATGCCAAGCAATAGTTGAAGTTTGTAGAGAAGGCTCAAGTGTTTGAGTTCTTAGCAAGGTTGAAGTTGAATTTGGAGTTGGACTTTACAATACAACACAATCTAAGTAATGATATTCTGAGCCTTCCAACCATTTATTCTTTGGTTCAAGATGAGGAGAGTAGATGGGCTGCTATAATGCAAATACCAAAGAGATAGTTCTTTGATGACTACAAAGAACAAATTAGTCAATGGTAAGAGTACTTTTGCAGAGGAGGAGGAAGTGGTTTCTGACTATTGCAAAAAGCCTAAACACACCCGAGATCATTATTGGAAAATGCATCTTAATTTGAAGCTGGACAAGTTGAGGAATAACAAGAAGGGAAATGCTCATGTTGCCATTGCATCAGATATTTGTACATCAGCCCCTCCTACAGACACATCTGAGTTGACTAGTTCTGGATTGCTAGAGAAGCTAAGCAATCTTCTAATTCATCTAGAGACTGGTGGAGTATCCTCTTCTACACCTAGTTCTCTATCCACTAGATTTTCAAAATCAATTAATGGTATTGCCTGTCACGTGTTTGTCCCTACCCCCCTAGCTAATTAAATTTGGAGCCAGTGATCGCACAACTAGAATATTTATCCATTTCATTTAAATTAAATTGTGTTCTAGGAAAAATAAAATAACCATTGCCAATGGATCCCATACTCCCATTTCTGAGCTGGGTGTGGTTAAGCTTAACAATGGTCTTTGCATTCATTTTGTTCATCATGTCCCTTAGCTTCATACCAATCCTTTTTTTTAGTTGTTACCAATAACTTAGAAGAAGAAGATACAGGCACATTCTATGGTACAAAGCATTTTTTTTCTGGAACAGAACCAAACTCTCCATGCCACTATTCTCTGATGCACATTAGGCTCATCAATGTTTCCAAACTGCCCAAGGTACAACTAAGATTAGCAGGGGTCTTAATATGCAAACTGGAAAAGTTTAAGGTGTAATAATGAACAGCATAGAGTATAACCTTGAAAACAAAAACGTTTTGGTATCAACAAAATAGAACAACAAATTGTCAGCAATGGTTCTTTTTAGCCCATGTGCAATGTAAGAGAGAAAATAGAACTTTGGCATCAGTAGCCTAGGTACCTAGGAAATAAATATAAAAAGTGAACTTAGGACCCCTTTTTCATTCATTTTCTAGTTACTTAATGACATGGTGCAAAAGGAAAAGAAGAATGTTGAGAGAACAATCAATTCTCTCCTAATTTCTTCAGCAATGAGAACTTCATAATTTTGGGGTTTCTTTTATTTTCTGTCAAATTGTGTTATTTACTTTTTTATGGTTATACCCAAGTTTTCATTGATCATGAAATTGTTGTGGACTGTATAAGAGCTGCAATATTATAGAGTATGGGGAAGGGGGGAGCAAGAAGGAGTTAGGGGTGGGTGTCATGATTGACCTGATTAAGGAAAGGGTGGCTCATTTGGTGCTAGTATGTTAAGCATTTAAAAATATATCTGTGGATGACCTGTTAAGAGGATGGTAGATTATTGCAGGATTGCCAAAGGGAAAGTCCACACTGTCCACGGATGATTATATACTGGCAGCCTCCACAAGCAGGCAAGCTCAAGTTAAATTTTGATGATTGCTGTCTAGGAATCATTAAACTAACTTTTATGGTTCAGTTGGCTTTGGTATTCCTCTGAAGGCTGAACTGTTAGCAGTAATTCAAGGGCTTAAACTGTTGACTTTGCAGAAATGGAGGGAGGTCATCATGGAAAATGATTGTAAAGTGGTTATTTCTTGGCTCAACAATGATGTGGATCCAGCCTGGAAGTTTAGAGTTTTAGTTAGGGAGGCCAGAAATTAGGGAAGAAACCTGAACTGCTCATTCAAGTGGGTCACAAGATCAGCCAAATCCCTAGCTGATGGTTTAGCTTGAGCTGGTGTGAATGGGGTTGGCCTGGGCCAGGGATCCCTTTGTAATCTGTCTTATGTATACTGTCTTTGCGTGTGTTCAGATTTGAGTTGTCTTTGTACATCCCCTTCTGTCCATTCCGGACAGATTCGGGTTCTTATATCTTATTAATATAACTGATGTTAATTATCAAAAATAATTGCCTGAGAATATAGTTAACTAGTCTAAAGAATAAAAATAGATAAAAGTTCATTAGTGAATTTTTAGTTTACAGAAACATTGATGTTGTAATCACTTTTCTTGCAGCCAAACTTCTGGGGTCAAAACTTGTTGGTTTTCCTTGGAGACGTTGGATTAACCTAACTTCACTTTCTTTCTGATGTCATTTAAATCTTCTTTATCTTAAATCAATAGTTTCCATCCAGATTCTAGGCATTAGATATCTAATACACAACAGCTAATTTCTAATAGTTTGTACCCTGAAAAACCTCCTAAATCATATTCCACAATTATTTACCAAATCTGAACACCTTATCCACAAATTCCCCTTCATATAGCACACCATTGCATATATCCATGCAATCACCCACTTCCTTCCTAGATTGTTATGGGTTTCTTGAAACTTAAAATGATTAGGCTTGTTTGAATAAGAGAATAGAGAAGGAAGACAAATACCTTTTTAGAGTCCAAAACAGACATTACTTCATCCTGATCCCACAATCTGCTACGCATACCAGGATCTTCAAAGCATTCCTGTCGAACAATTTGCTGTCCCATGTCTCTAAGCTGGTCATGCATCCACAAGGTATTTCCATCAACAATCCTTATGAGAGATCTCATTGCAAGTTCTGTCATTGCTGTCTCAGCATGGAAACCACAGCCCTTAAATATATCAATAGCACTTTCTCTGCTCATGTCCATGCTAGAAAAGAAACATGCAATGTCAAGGAATATGCGTTTATTCTCTTCATCCAATGCATCATAACTGATCTTTAACAAATTATGGAGGTCATCTGGAAGAATCTTTCTCAACTTCTGCAGTGTATCTTCCCAGCACTCTTTTACTTTCTTACCAAGCAAAAGAGAACCAAAAACTTCTAATGCCAATGGTAATCCTCCTGTGTGTAATGCAATTTCCTTGGTAAAACACATGAAAGTTTCCGGAGGTTTCTCCCTCCCAAAGGCATGGTAACTGAAGAGTTGGAGTGACTCACTCTCATTCAATTCTTTAACATCATAGGTTATATTTACAATGTCCTTTAATATCTGTCTATGTCTTGTGGTTATAATAATCCTACTTCCATCACAAAACCAGTCTCTCCCACCAGCTAAAGCCTCAAGTTCTCTCACATCATCAACATCGTCCAGAACAACAAGAACGGGCTTTTCATGAATTTTTTGTTTGATAACATTGATACCTTTACTGACATCATCCACAGTTAATGCATTAACAGGGAAAAGATCATGAAGAATCTTGTTTTGAAGTGAAACTAAATTGCACCCTTTCCTTGAAGTTTCTCTGATGTTAAACATGAAGCTGTGATGCTTAAATTGAAAGACCATTTTATTATAAACGGCCTTAGCAAGGGTTGTCTTGCCAATCCCACCCATTCCAACAAGTCCCACAACTCGGACATCATTGAATTTAACATCTAACACTTTCATCAGTTCTTCTACACGAGAATTGAGACCAACAGGATGCTTAGCCACACCTAATGGAATATTACTTGAAACGGTCAAAATCCTTTCAACTAAAGCTTGTATCAACTGTGATTCTTCCCTGCTAGTAAATATCAAAAGATGGCAAAGAATACAAAATTAGTATTGAACTTACAGTTTTTAGTAATTCCCGTAGTTCTATTTATAGTGAATTCACAACTTACCATATATTTATAGTACAAACAGATCTAATAACTGGAACCCCAAGAGGAGGAAGATTTAGAATAAAGTTATCAAACTTAAAGGTCAAACAAGACAAGGAAGAATAAAAACATCAAGGAAATTAAGCAAGAATTGGATGAAAAGTGACCAAGAATAATAAAAAAAGGAGGAACTAACACCAAAACAACCTAGCAATTCATAACAAATCATAATTGTAATAAACTTTGTTTTTGAAAAAAAAAATGGTAATGTAAATTTCTAATCATAATTTAACTTCGATTCTGATCATTATCAACATCTTCATCATAGTCAAAATCTTCTTTAAAATATATTCATGAATCTCCAAAAAATAAAAATAAAAAAAAAATAGTAGAACAACAAGATCTTTAAAATATATTCATGAATCTCCAAAAAATAAAAATAAAAAAAAAAATAGAGCAAAGCTAGTTAGAGCCCTTTCACCATATCCAATGAATAAAACTAAATATTAACTAAGACTATAAACAAATTTATTGCTCGTAGGAGACGATTCTGATAGCCTAGATTTTGTGCTGATTTGCTACATTTTTTTGATGGATTGGATTCATTGAATCTTAGTACCTCATGGTTGACATTAAGGCACTGAACATAAGAGACCATTGTGATTATCCAAATTAGGTTAATTTGGTACATCGTGTACATGGCATGTATTTTTTAAATTTGACACATCATTTACTATTGCACTCAGTGGGTTGGGTTTGGTGCAGGTTTGGGTTCATCACACACCCAGCCCAAAGTCACTTAAACCCAAATCTGGCCCAACCTAACTATTGTAATTAGGAATGAAACTTGGGCAAGCCCAACCTGAGATTTTGCATGTTTTGGGCCTCAGTTTTTGGGCTTTGGGATGGGCCTAGGCCAGAAAACTGAGACCTGATGGCCCTGACCTTAACTTGGGTTGAGGATTTGGGCATCCCAAGCCCACCCGAAGAAATGCATATACATACATGCATTTTATTTATATAAAAGTGTCTTTTTTTAATTATATGTACACATGCATATGCATAGAATATGTATATGTGCATTTGTTAATGAATTTTGTGCATCTTTTCAATCCATTCTAAGTCTCACGTGTTTCTCTTAACTTTGTATTAACAAAGTTCATCTTTTTCTTTTTGAAATGGTAAGGTAAATTTATTGAAAAATAATGAAGATACAAACAGAAACCAGTCCAGAAAGAGACAGGACAGAGATCAATACCAATTACCAACACCAAATAGACTGAGACCTAAGCAACTGGAATACATTCAGATGCTTGAATTCTGGAATGACAGAAATCCAGGAGCAATTTACTGACTGCACACCGCATTATCTCCTCTGGACTTTTCATCTTATGACAGAAGATTCTGTTGTTTCTTTCAGTCCAAAATGGACCATAAGACAACTGCTGGGATAGATCTCCACACTAACTTTCCTCTCTTCTTCAAATTTCTGATCTTCCAGCAGGATAGTAATTCTTTCACAGACTTCGGCATGACCCAGCAAATCCCCACAGCCCTTAAAAAGTGATCCCACACCTGGGCAGTAACTGGACAGTGAAGGCAAAGATGGTGGTCTGTGGACTCTGGCTGCAACCCACAAAGACCACAAGAAACATCTGACAGCTGCATACCTCTTCTTTGTAAGTAAGTTCTAGATTCAGGGAAGTAACTTTCTATTAACAAAGTTCATCTAGGGAACAATTTGTGATTTAGAATGGCTACTTCATCATTTTACTATTTATTGCCATCAGCCAATAGGTTGGGACATGTCTTTGTGAGAAACAAATTTCAGGGGCTGCCACCCCCTAAGTACAGCATAACAATCTTTAATTTACCTATATTTTATATTACATAAATTGTAACATATATTTAATACATATTAAATGTATTGTGTTCAAAGAAGTATGACCAAGATCCGGCCCCGGTCCGTCCGGGCTTATATTTCAGGCCCAGAACCGACTATAGCCTTTATCATAGGACGATGATACAGAACTTCAGGGATGTCAACACATTGACAAGGATTAAAGTATCAATACAATACACCTGATACAGGGCGTATTGTATCTGTATCCATGCTCACCAGCACAAGATATGCTACAACTCTATGTGTATCCTACTAGTCGTGTGTATCGGCACAATACACCACTGTAGTGGTGTTTATCGCACTATATCGGTGGATATGGCCCGACACTCACCAATATGGAGGCATATCAGACCCTAATTTGACAACATATTTAAACCTTGATTTAAGATTTAATTTTTCCCAAAAATTTAATAAGAACTAAAAATTATAAAATTAATTTGTTTTATTTATCTTAAATGATTTATATATTTTATATTGAATATAAATTATATGTTAAAAACGAAGACATATTTATTATTTGAAAAAATAGAGCTATCGTTTATATAAAAATATTAAATAAATAGTTAAATACTTTTTCCAACAAAATAATAAAAATTGCAAATTATATATAATTATAAAAATTGAACTAAATAATTTAAGAGTTAATTTTCCCCAAAATCTTAATAGAAACTGAAAATTATAAAAATAATTTATTTTATCTACCTTAAATGATTTATATGTTTTATTTTAAAATTATATGTATAATAAACAATTGTATGTTAAAAATAAAATTTTATCCCAAAAAATTAATAAAAATCATAAATTATAATTATAGAAACTGAAATAGAGTGATAATTATTGTATGATTCTAGAGTCTCGGTATTGTTGATTGTAATGTTTCTCTTCGTATAATCTATTAAAGTGTGCATTTCGAGAGTCATATTGGATACATAGCTGCCCCATGCATGATATGTAAGCAAAGAGATGAGAAGCTTGATTGTGCTGTCTATTAATATGTACAAAATTTATAGACAAAAAGAGAGATCTAGCATGTTTTAGACTGCAGCGATGTAGTTGATCCACCCAATGCTTCGCTGGTCGATCTGTATTTACAAGATCTATAAGATCTGAATTATCAGAAAAGACTAGGAGAGATCTAGCATGTCTTACACTTCTTTTCCGTTGGTCAAATTTTGAGTTTAAACTTAGATCCCCATCAAAAAAGCAGGATTTTTCCAAAATTTTGCTAGAAAGGGGACGAAAGATTCTAAACAAAAAGACACAAGGATTTCTATATGCTAATTCTTTCTCTCTGTTATCTCAGAAGGAAAAGTAACAAGAAAATGCAGTTACTATATGAGATAGAAATCACAGGAATTAAGGAAATACCAGACTCTGGAATCCCAACCGGCAATTCCACCAGCTTTCGTCATAGCTGCTCTCCATACCAAGGTCTTTTCCGTTCCGAAACGTTGCTCCAGCGTCTGGAAGTCAGCTTCGAAGGGGCCCTTCTGTTGTCGTACATCGGAGGGATCCACTTGGTAAAACACCGGAAGTATCAGCCGCTGGCACTCCACGATCTTCGCCAGCTCTTCCAAGCACCACCTGGACGATGCGTACTTCTTCGATATGACTGCGATCGACGCCGCCGAATCCTCTATCGCAGTCAATAGGCTCGGCGCGATCTCATCCCCTCTGTGCAACCCCTCGTCGTCCATGAACGTTCGGATATTTTTACTTACGAGCTCGTTGAAGAGGTTCTTAGTGAAGCCATGGCGAGTGTCCTCGCCTCTGAAACTCAGGAACACGTCCCACCGGAATACGATGGGCGGAGGAGCCACCCGATATTCATTCTCCTCCATATCCACTCCGTACTCCGTAATCCTTCCTCAGTTCCTCCTTTTTTATTTGCAGTCTCCACTTGGATTAAATTACCCTCCATTTCTTTATAAAGAACTGGTATCTGATTCCTTATTTCCTCCATTAAAAAAAAAGTTTTGAAATTAAAATAAAATATCAGACTCTCAGTCTCAGGGGAAACTTTGGCTGTTTCGAAAGGTTCTTTGTATCACACTGTTATATTCTCTTGAGAGAGAATGACAGTTTCGTGTAAAGAGAGAGAGAGAGCGTGTAAAGAGAGAATGACAGTTTCGTGTAAAGAAACGGTGACTTCACCCTCACCGTTTGACTGTTGGAATGAAGAAGAAAAGAGGAAGAAGTGAAGAACAAAGAAGAGAAGAATTGACGGTACTGTTCCGTCCCTTTCGTAGGAATTGGTTTGGAAAGACATTTTTCCAATTTTAACCCTCTTTCTTGCTATATTTTACAGAAGCGTGGAATACATTAGTAGACTCGTCTGCAGTCTCTGGAATATGGCTATAAAAGTCTATTAATGCCTTCCTTGTTTGTTTTGATTACAAATAATCAAAAATATATTATAAATTCTTTAGATGCACGTCTCTAGCCATTTGAAAATTTCGTATACTTTCCCTTACTGCAGAAACAATAATAAATAAATCCATTTGAAAAATTCCTGAAATTTAATTTCTCAAAAAAAATAATAACAATAATAAATAAATCCATTTGTCAAACTTAATTAAAACACTGAAATCCAGCCAACAACCACTATCATAGAAAAGTTAAACGGAGTGAATACGGATTTATTTCCGTAAGGGAAACTGCAGAGATTTTCCATGAGGATGAGGTGGGCTCCATGAAGCCATCGGATTGATCTGTTGGACAAATTTAATTTCCATCGTTGAAAGGGGTTGAAGTAGTCGATTATTGGCTATGGCAGTCCTAAGCATGAAGTTAAAACCACCTTCGCCGGCAGCTTACACGAAACACCTTCCCATTTGCAAATGTCTTCTCCAAAGCCTTTCCTCTCCTCTAAATGCCAATCGAACCAGTTGATGGAACACCACAAAATAACAAACATTAACCAAATAGTTAATACAGGAGTACTAACAGCGAAACCCTTCATCACGATAATCTCTCTCTCTCTCTCCTACGGTTGAGACGACAGCTCCAAACGAATGTAGAAAATTGCTTTGGGGACGTCAAAACCACTAGAAGATAGATTTATAGAAGAAAATAGATAAAGCTAGCGGTATTTGTGTTATGATAGGAGTCTTAATTGCATTGTGAAACCACTCCACTCCAAGAATGACAAGATAAATTGGTTATAATGGATAATGGATTGGCTTTGGCTTTGTGATAATCACTTTTTTATGCAAAGTTAGGAGCTGTTAACATCATCAACACGTCCAAATTGGGTTATTAAAAGATTTTATGATACATATACATCCGACTTACTTATCCTCTTGGGATACGAGTATCGTGTAAATCGGGTGTGCGGGCCGAGCCAAGCTGTCTTTCCCTCTTTTGGGATAATTTGGGGTTGGCTTAGTATGGCTTACGGTTTGAGTCTGTGGGGGCACTATTTTTTTTTACATTTTGATTTTTTTCTAAATAAATACTAAAACAAAAATACTTCACTTTCCTTTGAGCTTTGAGAACAAATTGAAAAAATAAAAAATCTAACAAATAAATAAAAAGAATACTTTAATACTTAACAAAATACAAAGTGGACAACAAATTGGAAAAGAATAGGAATTTTATTTCTTGAATTTGAACAATACAATGGTCAATTGATGAATGAAATATAGAAAATGAAATAAAATATAAAAAATATAATACAATTATAAATTGAAAATAAAAAATTACATTGTTGAAATAATATCAACTAATTTAAACAAAATTGAAAAAAAAATACAATAATTGAAAATTAAGTACACAACAAAACATTGACTTCATCATTGTTCTTCAAGTTCCACCCTTTTTATTGATGATTATTCACGTTACACTTGGGTTTATCTCATGAAATCCAGGGATGAAGTACCAGATATTGTGAAAATTTTTCATGAATTCATTCTCACCCAGTTTAATACCCGTTTCAAAATATTCCGCTCTGACAATGCTAAGGAGTATTTTGAGAGAACCCTCTCCACCTATCTTGAAACTTTTGGGGTTATTCATCAAAGTTCTTGTTCCTACACTCCACAACAAAACGGGGTGGCAGAAAGAAAGAACAGGCATGTAGTTGAGGTTTCCAGATCCCTCCTATTTGCATCCCATGTTCCTATAAAGTTTTGGGGAGATGTTGTTCTTATTGCTACCTTTCTGATCAACCGTATGCCCTCCCGGGTCCTTAGCTTTAAAACCCCTTTTAGTCTTCTCTTCCCGGATGAGGATCTCTTTTCTCTTCCTCTCTATGTGTTTGGGTGTACTTGCTATGTGCATATTCATAGTCACCAAAGGCACAATTTTGAACCTAAGGCTCATAAGTGCGTGTTTTTTGGATATGCTTCCACACAGAAGGGTTATTGCTATTTTAATCCAGTTCGTGGCACCCGCTTTGTATCTCGGGATGTCACCTTTGCAGAGTTGACTCCTGAGGGGGAGATATCTGATGAGTACTTTGATATGTCTCCAATTGTTCCTCTTCCCATCCCTTGTGAGTCCGATCATGGGGTGTCCACCTCTTCCACTGGACCTACCCCTGATGTCCCTGCTCCCCCTCCTGCTTCTGCTCCTGCTCTC